TCTTCTTTGTTTTGAAATTGCAAGCCCATACGCGACAGTTTATTTGGACAGAAGGGAGAGGGGCTTGAAAATTGGCCTTGGATTATGCAGACCGCGTAATGTTTTAAACTAAAGTCGGAAATTCCAACTCAGTATCTTACTCCAAATGAAATTGCGACTTTTGACTTGAGGTAAATGGTGAAGGTTGATGCCAAACTGGTTTTGAGTTAGTGGCCTCGCATGGAGCTAGGAAGACGAATTTCGACCGATAGTTAAAAGTAAGTGCAGCGAGTGAATTTATGGCCTTCCAAAATCCATTTACTTTTTTTGTAATTCTTGAGTTGAAATGCGTGATGAGACAGCAACACATACAAAAACATATACATATGTATATGCACATTGACAGGATCTCGTCTGGTGCGTCTTCGCTGTATCGATGATTTAAAAAAAATAAAAACTAAAAGGAAAGAGCAAAAACGATAAAATTAGCACTAAAGTAGCAGAATTAAGATCAAACTGCGCTCCCAAATTTTTCTCTGGAGCTGCGTACTATGCAATATTATGATGCTGTAGACGAGAAGGTTGGTTCCTGCTGTGTGAGTCAACACACGATGTCCTGGATGAGTGAGCATGTGTGTTCAATTGTTCGGAACCCTCTGCTCGCTGTTAGCATCCTCCGAGGTCGTTCGACTTCCCATTACTGCAATAAGCTTGTACCGTTCTGCCAGGAGCCTGCAAACATTTACTGAGCAAACAGGATGAAACAAAACCATCACAGCGATCAACTGCCTGGTTGCGGCTGCTCAACAAATCTGTAGTTACCTTACCTGGTTTAATCTGAACTAGCTGTGGCGCACCATTTCAGTTTTACTCCTCTCTAATTCCATTCTTCAGTTGATGAATGAAGAAATGGTATTTGTTGTGTGCTTTACTTTCACGAGCAAACATTCCAGAAGCAAACATTTTTTTTAAAATAAATGCTACCGGTACTACAGCACTGGAGAAAATTAGAGCCAGACAGCGTAGCACTCGTTCCCACGTATTGTGGAGTTGCGGCAGGTGGAGTATACTAGGCTTTTCCCGCATTAATCATAACATACCTCAAACAAACCCAAGTGGTATGAGTTATTGCTTTTGCGGACTGAAGTTAAATAATTTCCTGATAAATGTCATATTATACTCAGACTGAAAAATACGTGCTGAAACTCCACTTTCTGAAATTTTCCAGACGTGTTCCAGATGCATTACAAAAGCAATCATCAGTTGCCACGTTCCGTTAGGTGATTTTCCGGAATAAAAGAAACTGTACTTCTTTTGACTGCTGCTTCTTGCTCAATGGCTTCATAGCTTTCCCACTTTCCATCATTCAGTTCTTCTTTCCTTTATAACATTTTTGTTAATTACCCGCAACTTCCTTCTTCTTCCTTCCCTCGTCTTTCCATCACTACACCAGCACATTTCTCATTTACAATACCAATATTTTTATCCCCAAAACACTTGCATTTCTTTGATGTCCGCCGCCGTACTTCGTTGGTTCCCATTTTGTGCTAAAGCTGTATCTCTCCAGATGTGATGATGATAATGGCACTGCTGACGGTGATAGCAATATTGGTGATGTAAATTATGTGAGTGGTGAAGCCCCACACTTATTACGTGTAAATTTTATATCCCATCCGCACTGCGTCCATTCGCCGCTGCTGTTGCTTCCGGGACCGTTCGCAAGCGAGGGATTGTAAATCTATTCAGCCCTAATGTATGCGTTGTGCCTACATCAAACTTGTCTATTAACAATATTATCTAATAAGTTCAGATACTTATCATTTTTGATTAACTCCTCGTCCTTGCATCTAGAGGTGCTGCCCTTCGAGAAGATGCTTTACCATCACTGTCTCCAGGGTTTTTCTTCGATATTGTCCACAGTAGAAAGTGCCAGTCGGAATACCGCCCTTTTATTGTCCGATGTTTTCCTATGAGCAAAAATTCCATAAGCTCGTAAATCGTTTTCCTTTAAATCTCTCTAAACGTAGCGGAATCTAGCAGAAGTGGCGGAGCCTAAACAAATGGTTGCGAAAAATAGTTGTTCTCTTGTCGTGCTGCTCAGTGATCCATGAATAACTGCTAGCGAATTTCATAGACGACTACCTACTGCTAACAGTTAGTGCAGTCGGTTTTCGCTGTCCCCTGTCCTGCGTTACTAGAGCAGGCCTTTCAGTTTTATTCATTGAAGCAATCAGGCGCGTATCCAGGCTTCAGAAAAGTGTCTAATTCAGCATGCTTCTGATAAACTTGCGCCCCTTACAATTTCTTCCGCTAAACGATACTGCATCAAACATCCACCA